ACAAGCTAACTTGTTTTAAATCTCATATCCCTGAACTCTGGACAAGGTGAAGCCAAGGTACTTTGGATAAGCACAGTGGGTAGGACCTGTGTTTAGGACTGACCCCTGGAACAAAGGGTTCCTGGCATTGCTTCCTGCTACCTTAAGCCAGCCCCTAACCAGCCCCGGCCTGCTGAGTTCTGAAGCTGAGACACTATCCATTCCTGCAGCTGAGTTTTTTAAATGAACCTGTTTATGCAACAAGTAGTCCTGTGGAACCTTAAAAACTAACAAATATACATATAGTATCATGAGCTTTCCTAGCCAAAGACCATTTCTTCAGATGAGCTGGAAGCTGCGATGGAAATTACAGGAACCCAAAGGCTGTGTCTAGACTGCATCCCTTTTTCGTAAAAGGGATGCAAATTAGACATATCGCAATTGCAAATGAAGCAGGGATTTAAATCCCCCCCGCTTCATTAGCATAAAAATGGATGCCACTTTTTTCCCGGCTCGGAGCTTTGCCGGAAAAAAGCGCCAGTCTAGACGCGGATCTTTCGGAAAATAAAGCCTTTTCCGAAAGATCCCTTATCCCTCTTAAAATAAAAGATTGGCTACTTGTAACTCCATTAATGAGTGCCCAGGCAGGTTCAAGTGTTCCCCTACAGCAGTGCGCTCCAACTTTTTAAGCACAAGATTACTTTTTCAATTGAAATCAACCCAGGATCTGCCTCAGACCCTAATTCCCTTGACCCACCTCCTTCCCCACCTCTTCTTTGAGGCCCCGCCCCACCTCACCCCATCTTTGAAGCCCCATCCTGTTCACTCTGGGTAAGTCTGCACTGCACACTTATTTCAAAATAAGCCATTCAGGAATAGTTATTCTGAAATACCTATTTTCAAAATAGCATGTCTACACTGCAGGGAAGCCTCAAAATTAGTCCGAGGCAGGCTTCCCTAATATAGACGTGCTATCTCGATTTAGAGCCCCAGGAGGCACTGGGGAGGAATCATATGTATAGTAGCCCAATGTCTGAGACTCTGAAACGCTGGCTGTTCCCTCTGGGTGGCGCTGTTGCCTCCTGCCGTGGCACTCGGCTGACTCCTGCCCCACTCAGCCAGGCCGCCGCGCAGGAGCAAGCAGCGCAAGCAGCCGTGTGGGGTCCGCACTCCCCATGCAGCAGGGGGAGCACGGGGCCCAAATGGCTGGTTGTGCTGCTTGCTCCCGCGCGGCAGCACGGCTGAGCGGCGCAGAAGTCAGCCGACGGCGGGAGGGGCCTAGCCATGTACGTCACCGCCCTGCTCCCCTTCACCTCCCGCTGTGGTGCTCGGCTGACTTCTGGGCCGCTCAGCCGGGCCGCCGTGTGGGAGCAGGTGGCGCATGCGACCGTTTGGTCCCCCGAGTGAGAGGCAGGAGGCAGAGGAGAGCTGAGGGAGAGAGAGAGCGCGAGGCAGTAGGAGGAGAGAGAGAGAGAGAGACCAGAGGGGAAGACCCCAGCACTAGTTAAACCAGCCAGCGTCCCCACCAGAGAGCCCCCGTGAGTCAGGAAAAACAAGGTGAAGGTGATGGTGAAGCAGAAATGACCTAGAAAGGTGCCTGCATATTTCTCTTCCATCTCAGCCAAGTGCAGCTCTGTCCTGCCTCACCCTGCTTAAGTGGTTCTGTTCCCAGTGTAGGGGAGGGGAGTAGGGTATAATGGTTAGAGAGGCAGGGTGGGGTGGAGACTCGGAATCAGGATTCTAATACGCTGCTGCTGCCACCTCCGGAAGACAATGTGATCTTGCCAGTTAGAGCAGACTACAGGCTCTGCTTTGCCGCTGCCTGTTTATATGAAGAACTAGAATTTTTGTGGCTGACAATGGTCCTTCTAGCAGGGGGTGCAGGTGCTCTCAGTTTCCCCCGTCAGTTTGGAAGCAAATGCACAAAGCATTGCTAATTGGAGCTGGGCCCCAGCTGTTCAGATCTTTTATCCATGGCGAAGAAGCCAAAGAAAGCAGGTCGCCTTTCATCCTTCCCTTGCAGGGCTTTGTGGCTGTCACAGGCAAGCCAGAGCCAGCTCTGGGCCTATATCCTGGGGGAAGAGCTGGGCTGGAGGGCATGCAGTGTCATGTGTGAAATGCAAAGGGAAGGGGCCATGCAGCCTGGCTCTGCAAACCTCCGCGCCAGCCTCAGGATCTGCCAGCCACAAGGGATCAGTCAGTGAAAGCAGCTGCCGGGTGCCTTGTGCTGCTGGAAGCAGACGCTGTGAGATACTCTCATGGGCAGGCCATGTGCCAAGGGGACCAGTGCCTAGCCCCTCTGGAGAGCAGGGCATGTCTCCCACACAGGACAAAGGGGCAAGCAGACCCACCTGGGTGCTTCATTCCTCTGAGCCAGCACCAGGGCTTCCAGGTTCTATTCCTGGCTATTAGGCAGCCTCAGTTTCCCCGTCCATTCTGACCCATGGCCCTTCTCCATGACCTTTAGCCAGAGACCTCCAAGTGAAGCCCCACAGCACCCCTAAGAGGAAACTGAGGCAGGTAGAGGAGATGTGACTTACCCAGGTGGATCAATGGCAGTGTCAAGAAGCTAACCCCAGAGCCCTGGCTCTTGGTCCTTTGCACTAACCACTAGCCCCCACTCCCTTACTGTGGGGTGCAACATGGTGAATGGGACCCAGACGTACTACAGAGAGTGTGTGGGTGACTGGAGGCGTGTAGTGTCTGGGGCAGAGCAATTCGCCTCTAATGAGCCCAACCTCGCCCCTCTGGCCTGGGCTCCCAGGGGCTTGTTTGGGTGGCAGCAGAGGTGGGGTGGGCTCTAGGGGGTGGGCACGGAACCAGTGGGAATAACTCCAGGAGGCAGGAGGCTTAGAAAGGGATTCTTTGGTGTCTCCAGGCCTCTCCCTGACACAACCCCCCCCTGGGCTTACAGGCCAGCCAGCTCAGAGGAACCCACGCCCAATGGTCACAGGGCTGGAAGCTGGAGTCCCGGGGGAGGCTCTCTGGCCTGTGCTTAGCCAAGTTCTGCCAGGATGAACTGAGCTGTCCCATCCGGCCTGGCACTCGGGGACCCCCGACTCGCTGCTGCCCTGCCCGCTGGGCTGTTGTGTGCACCAGGGGCAACGTGCTGCCAGATCAAGATGGCAGCCGGGCCCAGGGCGGGGAAGGGAGACGCCACGAGCCCAACGCACACAGCCTGGAGCCCAGGGACCCAGCGTGCCTGTACACTCCTGCACTCGGCCAGTGGCTCCTGGCCTTGCCCCCCTCAGGTACTAGGTGGATGTGACATGGGGACCCTCAGCAGGAGGGCATTGGGTGAGAGGGTAGCGAGGGGCTGCAGTGGCTCTTGTAGGCTGTCCCGTTCCCCTATTAACCCCACCGTGGGGCCAATGGGGCTGGGCAGGGCAAGTCAACTGCCCCCTTCTTGCCATCAGACCCCTCAAACCCGCAGAGAAAAAGCTTCGCCTCAGGCTGCTCTCCCCCTGTGCACGGGGAGCTCGTGGAAGCAGGTCTGAGGGGGGGAAGCAGGTTGGGGGGAGGAGGGGAAGGAGGGGAAGTGTTCCCGAGGGTAAAAGGGGCCTGGCCCTACTCTTCCCAGGAGCAATGTAACCCGAGTCCCTCCCGGAAATGGAAAGGCTGGGAGCATCAGGTGGGGCAGCGTTTTGGGTTCCTGGCTGCCTGGGCCCCAGGGAGAGGTCAGGACAGGCAGCCAGCACTGACAGATCCTTCCCCATCTGTCTGCCCTGGCACAGCCACAGCCGCCTCTCCCCGCCAGCCGCTTAGGCTCCCCCCTGGGCTTGAAAGGAGAAGGCTGCTTCCTCCTTTGACCAGCTTCCTGGGCAAAATGTGTCATGTTTGCACCCCCCCCTCCCAAGGTACAGTGAGCCTGGGCCTTTGTGAACGTGCTGGCCTGGGCAGCCTGGGGCATTCTCCCCTCAGTGAGAGTCACACCCAAAATTCCAATCCTCCTCGGGGGTGCCCAGGGAAACTGAGGCACGCACACAGCGTTACTACAGAACAGCCAGCACGGGACAGTAGGAAACACATGCAACGGAGCACAGAGAGAATACAATCCCTACTTCATTGCACCTTGCCCTACCTCTTCTCCTAGGCCCCGTCTGGCTCACTCCACCCCCTCCTGTTGCTCGCTCTGCCCCCTCCTTCCGCTTTCCCACCTGGTTTTGATTGAAAACTGGATAACTGGCTCCTGGTGGGTCAAAGGCAAGATTGCCAGCATGGCGTCAGGCCCTAAAGGGCTCCTTCCAGAGGCCACGGACTGAGGGACCTGCTCGCCTCTCCATGGGGCCCCGCCTGGGCTGAGCTGAGGCGATGTGGAAGGCTTTTGCCCACTCGACCCACGGCAGGGGCTGCGGAGTAACAAGCTCAGCCTGTTTGTTTGTTTGTTCCTAGAAATGTCAGTTTTTATTAAGGGTTTAATGGTGTCTTTGTGGCTCGGGGGAATGTACAGAATGTAGAAAATACACCGCGCTTCACTGGACACACACAGCTGCAATTTAGTGGTTTAGAACAGCTCCTCAGGGACGGACGTTAGCAGCATGGCGTGAGCACACAGCCTGCCACAGACACTGCGATAGCCACACAGAGCGACCCGCCGGCCTGCCCCGAGGGTGCGGCCAGCCCTGCTCGTCCTTAGCAAGGGGCAGGCCCGCTGGGGGGGCGGGAGAGAGGAGGCCACGAGAGATGGGGAGCCCAGCAGCAGGGTGAGGCCTGGCAGGGGGTCCTCAGTGTTGTGGCACCTCTTGGCCTTGAGCTAGTCTCCCCTCCTCCAAGGGGCTTTGGCTGCTGGCAAGGGGCCCCAGGGGCAGGGGGCGGGAGGGGCAGGGCAGGCGATCACCGTGTGACATCATTTGTGCTCAGTCACAGGAAGAGACGAGAAAACGGTAAGAAGGGATGAAAGGTAAAATCCCTCCGGGAGGATGAAAACCCCTCCTGACCAAGGGCTTAGAGCTGGGAGGGGGAGGGGTTTGCAGGATGGTATAACTCCCACAGGGGCTCTGGGGCAGGGCCCACGGGGAGGGCAGGGCAGGCGATCACCGTGTGACATCATTTGTGCTCAGTCACAGGAAGAGACGAGAAAACGGTAAGAAGGGATGAAAGGTAAAATCCCTCCGGGAGGATGAAAACCCCTCCTGACCAAGGGCTTAGAGCTGGGAGGGGGAGGGGTTTGCAGGATGGTATAACTCCCACAGGGGCTCTGGGGCAGGGCCCACGGGGAAGACGTGGCAGGGCTGGGGCGTGGGAGAGGCAGGTATTGGGGTGAGGCTGGCTGGTGCCCCTAGCTGCCCCGGCCCACGGGGTTAAACCATCCTGCAGAGTCTCAGAGTCACTGATTGTATCTTCAAATAAAAAAATTACACCTGTGCCCGGGGGGCCGGGCGGGGGAGAGTTTTTTAAACTGACTTTCACGCAGCGGAAGGTACCATAGGCAGGGGCTTCGGGGCAGGGGTGAGGGGCCCCTGCTGTCCCGTCCTCATGGCTTCTGTGTCTCGTCAGGCTCAGCGGCTGCTGGGAGTCTGGTCTCTCAGGCCAGGGCACGGGGCGGCCGTTTCTGTGGGGACCCTGTCCAAGGACCACACCCAAATCCTTGTAGGGTCCCCTAACCTGCGGGCAGGGGCAGGCCCCGGGGGAGTCGGGGCCAGGGTGAGAGATGCCCCACTGGCGTCATCCTTCTCCCCTAGGGCTGTCTCCTCTGCTCTGTCCAGGCCTTCGTGTCAGCTGGCCGGCCCCTGGGGCCACGTGTGGTACATGCAGACCCACCCGCACAGTTCCAGGCAGGTAAGCTCCATGCTGCTGTGGTGAGTGGCTCTCGCCAGCCAGACACCTGCTGAGGGGGCTGGCGCTGGCCTCACGCTAGCAGCATAAGGGACGCGTGATGCCGCCTGGCAGCGTCTCCCCTGCAATGCCGGGAGGGGCTAATCCCCCCCTCCCAACTTGCCTCTAGTCTCCCCAGAGCCCCTACATGCAGCTGCCCTGCACTGGGGTTCATAGTGCAGCCGAACCAAGAGAAAGGAAGCCTGGACTGGCAGGGGAGATGGCCTAGCCCTGCCCCTCAGCCCAGCCAGAGGGCAGACTCTCCACGGGACGGGCCAGAGAGCCGACTCTCCATGGGGTAGCGTGGAGAGGTGAAGCCAGGAGGAGGGGACAGTGGGGCAGGCATCCTGGCCCCCTCCCTCAAGGAGTTGAGGGGGCGGGGCAGGACACCCCAGTCCTCAGTTTTGGGGGTATCCATCACTTTTCTGAGTCCATCTTGATGATGTTCATCAGGGCGTTTTTGAGGCTGTTCTTGCTGGGGGACTTGACGGCAGGTTTGAGGCCTGCGGCCTCAGCCTCGTCCCCCCTCAGTTCCATCTCGATGGTCATGACGACCTTTGAACTGCGGGGGGACTCGGCGCCCGCCTTGGGGGTACCTTCCCTGCCTGCTAACCGCTATTTCTTGTCTTTGCGGGACTCGCCCAGGAGGCCCTTGGATTTCTTCTCGCTGGCCGACTTGGTGCTCCGGCTATGGTCCAGCATGGCGTACAGGACGGGGGGCTGTGGAGGGAAGGACAGTGGTGAGGAGGCATCCACAGCGGGGCAGAGAGGCCATGGCTGATGGGTCACCTTTGAGTGTGTGGGGAGATGCCAGCCTATTTCTTGTCTTTGCGGGACTCGCCCAGGAGGCCCTTGGATTTCTTCTCGCTGGCCGACTTGGTGCTCCGGCTATGGTCCAGCATGGCGTACAGGACGGGGGGCTGTGGAGGGAAGGACAGTGGTGAGGAGGCATCCACAGCGGGGCAGAGAGGCCATGGCTGATGGGTCACCTTTGAGTGTGTGGGGAGATGCCAGCAGCGAGCGATGCCAGAGTTGGCTCAGGGCAGTGAGCCGGGCCTTAGGGTACTGGCCCATTTCCCAGGTCTGTAAACCCTCCTACCAGCTCTGCTGGCACTCGGGCCCTGACCCCACAGGGCACGGTGAGCCCTCGATTGCCACAGGTCTCAGGCACCTACGGGCAACTCACAGGGCCAAGTCCTAACTTGGGACCTTTCTGTGGGTCCCACAGGAGGCGGGGGGAGTTTTACCACTGACATGAGGGAGAACAGGTTACTTCCTGCTCTCCTTTCCAAGGCATGCTCCCAATGGTTTAGTTGCCTCCCCCCTCACTTGTGGGGCTGGAGTGTGATGCTGGGGCTGGGATACCTGGGTTCTAGTCCTGTTTCCTACTGCCCAAGTGCACCCCCCTGTTCCTCCCCAACTGCAAAGGGGGACCTAGGTGTTTTATCCCCTTGAGAGCTGGCAATGGCTCCGTTAGTGCTGGCCTAGGAGTGTCCCTCCCCCCATCGCACTGTGGTCATGCTCTCACCTGGCGGCCTCGTTTTGACGAATCCTTGGCTGACCGCTGCAGTTTGCCTTTCTCCATAGCACTAAAATTAGAACAGAAATTGGTCAGCTCTGCCTGTAAAACACCTAACAGGCCAAGCCCTGGGGGACCCATTGTGGCCATCTAGTCTGACCCCCGTGAGAACACAGACCACATGGCTTCTCCGCATTAATCCCTGCCCAGAGCAGAGCTTTTAGAAAAACATCCAGTCTTGGTTTTAAAATGCCTAGTGTAGGAGAACCCCTAAAATTAGAACAGAAATTGGTCAGCTCTGCCTGTAAAACACCTAACAGGCCAAGCCCTGGGGGACCCATTGTGGCCATCTAGTCTGACCCCCGTGAGAACACAGACCACATGGCTTCTCCGCATTAATCCCTGCCCAGAGCAGAGCTTTTAGAAAAACATCCAGTCTTGGTTTTAAAATGCCTAGTGTAGGAGAACCCC